ATAGCTGTTAACAATTGGTAAAGGCCCATGTACCTAGACAACAATGACTTTACAGAAGAAACCCCTGGCTGTGTTTCATGGGCGCGCTGCCAGCCGCTGCCAGCGCATTCCGCGTGAGCTAGCGTCAACCTCCGGTAGTGTTGGAGGTATAGGCTTGTTGATGTCTCTATGGAAGCCAAAAGCGGCTGGCAGAGTGCTGTGATATGCTGTGATACACCACCCTTATTTTTGCACAATAATGCTGTGATAACTGTTCCTGCAAAAAATATAAGGTGAAGTGAAGTAAAATCAGGTCAAACATTAATATATACCCGAAAATAGCAGTGTTTGGAGTACCTATATTCACATTACCAATAATATAAAATCAGGTCAAACATTAATATATACCAGAAAATAGCAGTGTTTGCCGTTTGGAGTACCTATATTCACATTACCAATAATATGATACACAACAGGCCATAGAAAACCAGTGAATCAGAATGTTGAATTGTACCCCAATTTCAATATCAATATGGCACTTGGCAATAACAGTTAAACACACCGTTTTTGATGTTAAATCAACAGAGAAAACTCCTGAACATAAAAAATGATCAGAATGTATAATAAGGATAACAGTATAAATAAAAATCGACGACATCAGCACCTATCATCGCCGTTCCACATTCACCACTCCCCATTCCACGCACAGATTGTTTACTCCTTGGTTTACCCCGTGTTCGCAGTCTCCCTGACGACGGAGATTCTTTACGCCCACCGACCAATCACGTTCAAGATCAGCGGGGCTTGGCCGCAGTTCTCGAACGCTATTTGCCAGATTAAGCAGGACCTTCGTCGTCAGTAAACTGTGAACACGGCGTTACATATTTCGCTATGGTAACAAAAGCGCCAGAATTGACTACCAGAATTGGATCCGAAGGTCAAATGGGTCACGTGACTGACAAGTTCAGATGGACAACACCAGGAAAACGGAACAACGTGCAATAACGTTCTATATATCATTGGAAAGAGCATCAAAAGTTGTATAAAATATCAACTTTTGACTTAAACATATCTTAAACGTAAAAAGTTATTAAGCATCAAAGACGCTCCCATTGACTTTCAAAGTTAAAATTTTTCATTTTTAAACGAGCTTCAAAAGAGCAAACGAATTCTGACAGCTTAACGAAGCATAACACCATGTTCTATGGTCTTTTCTCAACAAGTCCTGAAAGTTTAAACAAAATCGTATCATATAATTTTGTACAATGAGCGAATGAAAAAGTCTCTGCAAAAACGCCCATTGACTTAACATGGGGAGCGAAAAAAATTCAACTTTGACCTCGTGCAAAGACACGTTACGAAGTTCTGAGGGGTATACGGCGCACACCAGCGTGTACCCAAACGTGTTTGCCATAAAATGCTGGGAAGAAAACCACCTCTTCCTTGGCTCGTTTTTCCGCTATTCCCGATCGCGCAAAAAGTGTCCAAAACCCCGTTGACTTAACATGGGGAAAATGGAATCGCACGTGCCACGTGCCACGAGGTTTTAAGCGAGTAGCGACCGGTGCCAACAGGTAGATCGCCTGCGGGAGCCCATACACTGAAATTTTTAAGAAAATCGAGCCACAAGTTTAGGCCTGACCCAAGTTGCCCCAATTCGCGGCCAGACTTGCAAAACATAGCCCGGAGAAGGACCGCTCCGGTTGTTTTTCAATAGAAAAACACAATTCTAACGAATAGTGTTTGTCTTTTCAAACAACCTGCGGTTACCAGCATCTGCGATGCTGGGCTCCGCATCGCGGGACCGCAGGTTGTTTGAGCAAGCACCTCTGTAACGCCGCAAAAACGCCCGCCGCCAAACGAGAGGATGAGCCTTGCACGTGCAGATCGGAGTGCGTGTTCTACGAACTGACGTGCACTGCACTCTACGCCGCCAACCGCAAAACGCCGCAAAAAACGGCCGCCCGCCGTCAAACGCAAAAACCGCAAAAATGCGCCCGGCCGCCGCCAACCGAAAATAAACCTTTTACCGAAAACGACGCAAAAACAAAATCACCCGTTTCGCGGCGTGCGGGCGATGGGCGAATTTTTTATGGGCGATTTTTTTAGCCAAACTCAGACTCGGGCTCTGAGTGCATCCTGAGTTATAGATGTCGCTGTCATTCAGCCACTGAAACAAAAGCGCCACGATTACCGTCAAATCATATTTCCTACGCGGCCGAGAAAAAAAATGAAGCGGAAAGTGAGTAAGACCTACCTGACACACGGTACAGTTGTTTTGAACATCACCAGTTGAACCACGAGGCATCCATATTCCATACCAACGAAAAGTTTTCCATCTCTTGGTATATTAGCCGTAGGCTAATATTCCAGGCAGCGGCACGAGGAGCCGGATGGAGGAAACATGGATGCACGCTTGGTAAGGGCTGGATAGTATATTAGGACGTGAGCTTTACCAAAAGGCATCCACGCACCGCGCTGCCCGCCCTTGACGCAGTTAGCAAAAAAGTTGGCTCCAAATGTGATAGCCATCTTTCAATTACGTTAATTCAAGTTCGAAAGATGATTGGTGTTACTAAAAAAAGACTACGTCAAGAGCCCGTTACGATGTAACGGAAGACAAACCAGCCACTCCACACCTAGGCAGTTTTTCACACGCATTCCTGCATTCACACTCGCCATTTCGTGCACCGGCCTGCCCGCTGCACAACGTAATATCTATGGCAACTATACTGTCTAAGGCATGATTGTTGCTCCTAATGGTTTTCTTTTTTCACAGACTGGAGTGTGCTTTACATGAAAATATAATGTAGTAGATGATACCTGCTCATTTCATCACTAAACGTGTGAAATGTTCAAATGATGTTGGCATGTGGATAAGATCCGAGACTAGGAATTTAAAGTGTAGAAATGTCGGTGGCTGCTGGACGCATCTGCAACTGAGCTCATGGTCCTAATCATCCGCGAAAGTGACGAAACTACAGGAATGTCACGATAAAGATGCGCAGTACCCTGTATGTTCATGGCATACAGCTGCAAGCTAAGACAAAACTAGAAACGATCTTTGGGTAGAACATATAAAGTGAAGCAATACCAATGCAGAACTACTTGGAGTCACAGGAACCAGTGTGTCCAACATATCAATCAGCTAACATGTAAGGACGCATGTGTAAGGCCGCATGTGCAACTGTAATCCCTCTTGATCGACTACAAGAATGGAAAGAAAACGTCAACGGAGTAAAACTTCACCATGTGAATCTGCGTATAACTGGCATTCGTGATCAAGTATGCACAACAGATGTGAGGTGAGGACGCGGTGTCATTGCGATACAACATCAACTGATGCAATATTGGAATGCATTTTGCACTCATTCTTGCATATTGATAAGATCAAAAGTAAGGCGATAATGTGGATAAGTGTGTTGACAGATGTCGAAGACTGACGGTGATTACGAACTGCTTAACAGGCGACCGGATTGACGGTGATGCGCCTGACCGATCGTTGGAGTGCATGTCGCATCTGATGTCTATGGAAAACGGCAAAGGAGAAAACAGGACTATGGTGAAGGGCTGTTCTAACATCACATAAAACGGGAATGAGCAGTAACACCTGCCAATGAAAGCAGTGAAAAACAGCGAAACTGCCCGTTTATCCTGCCATGGTGCTAATGCCCAAAGTCAAGTTTTGTTTGTGTGTGTGTGTGGAAAGCGGTAGGGCCCTATGCGCTAAGCTATCATCCGTTTTAGCTTTGGTATCACAATACAAGTATTAGGTGCTCGCACACTACTGCCAGTAGTTCAGTCGGTACTGAGTAGCCCGCAGCTAATAACAACCTGATATTTGCTTCCTGCACAAACGTAGATGGCGGCTAGCATTATGGAAGTGTCTTTACATGATGAGTCTGATCGACGATGATGAATGAAATAATCATTTGAACTCGTTGAAAGATGACGATGTCCGGGTCACAACGAAGTGACTTAAAACTTGCAGGATGAATAACTGATGATTGGGCCGATGAATGTGGCTTGTGCTGCAGCCGAGGCCTGTGGGGACGGACGACCGGTGAGGTACAAATGGAGCAAGGAAACGAGACGTGAATGTACACCAAGCACAATGATATTTAGCTATCATAAGCGTTGACAATGGTGAATAGTCGGGCTGTTCGTCATATTGAGCCTTCACGTCATAGCCATTGCAATATCAAGCTCCCCAAATTGTCATTAGCTTTCGCAGCCCAAGTCCAGTATTGAGTGCTCAAAGAACTTGCCAAGGCAATATAGCTGTGAGCAGCCCGAAGTTCATGGACGGATGATGACCTTTCCCTCTAGCAAAAAGTAGACGACGTCCAGCGCTATAGTCGAACAGTGCCACTGCCAGAAAGGGAGAAGGTTTGCGAAATTCGGTTCGAATATCGGGAATTCGGGAATTCGGTTAGATGGTTATGGAATGGACCATATTAAGGCATTTAGAATATCCTGCGCACGGTTTTCCTGAAAACCTGAAAACCGTAGATAGTGGGAAAACCTCAGGGGGGGGGGGGGCGGAAATCCGCCCCCCCCCGTCGGTGCGCGGGATATATTTGATTGATATGTGTAGGCACTGCTTTAAAAATACAGTAAAACACTGAAAACTAGTGATGTCAATTACAGAAAATCGGAATACCGATACCAAACCAAATACCAACCAAAACCGTGGAGAAATATACCGAAACCAAACCAACTTGGGAACATGAGGAAAAAACCAACTTTTTACCGATTTCTTAGCCTCTTAGACATTAGCGAGGGTTCATGATACCAACAAAATACCAAACACATTAGGATTGAAATACCAAATACCGAGTTGGTATCGGTTTGGTATCGGTATACCAAAAAGTTGGTATCCGATTGACATCTCAACTGAAAACCAAAGCAACGTTGGAATGATTTTCCGTAGGTATGCGTTTAGTTAGCCAAGCAAACAAAGTCACAGGCTCTTGCACATATTACAGAGTGCTCCGGCACTGGTGTAACAAACAACTCACTTGCACTGGGGTTCGGGCTCACAGAGTAGATCCAACAGATAACAGGTCGCATTCAGCATTGCGCCGGACACTGCTGAAAATGTTGACAAGTGTCTGCCAGTAAACGCAAACATCAATCCCAATAGATAGGTACATGAAGACGATGACAAACATGTTGGCATTGTGTAGGAATGAGGACAGTAAATGATCACACAAAATGTAAAGCATTCTGCAACGTGTTGACAATGGACATTCAAATATGAATACATACCAGCCGTACGCAAGTGTCTTCGAAAATGTTGATCTCTTGATGGTGATGGAGAAGGTGTATCACGTCCACAGGCTTCAAGAAGTCGATCCATTGTCCGCATATTGTTAAATTTGGTCATCACATGTCCGTTTTCAACGCATCCGTAAACCGATGGCGAGAGCATTTAAGAACGTTTGAGCATGTGACTGAAATACTCAAAGACACAAGTTGGAGGAAGGAGCAGGCGAAAAAAGAAAGATAACAACACAGTGTATGAGCATCGTGTTCCAGTGCTAAAAATATAACTGAACAGGAAATGCAATATCATGTGTGGATCGCTCATGAGTGTGAACACATGCTTACATAGATGCATACCTACACTATACGAAAACATGACCGCTTTTTACGAGTGATTAACTGCTACATTCAGTGAACTGCATCATGTGGTACATGTTTGCGGGCGGAGCATGTCTACCGAATTCATTGGCAATACAATTAAAACAAACACACACACATATGTAGAACTAGATGATGAGACCTAGTGTAAGCGGGTGTACAGGTGGCTAATGTATATCTGCAGATAACTAATAGCTAGTGACAAATAAAAAAGTGCCAGCAACGGCCAGCGCAATGGGTGCTCCGTGATCGACGGTAAAATCTTCAACGGTATCGACGGTAAAGATGACTGGTAATGCACCTGTGAAAATAGGAGAAGCAACGGATGATTAGCTGACATGACAGCAAGTCGAAACGAATCGTCGATAAAATATAATATGTCAAGTCCGCGGATTTCTAAGCTTATGATTTTTCGATTTCGACGACTGTGAGTGAAAATGCATTTCAGATGAGATATTCGATAAATATTACTAAAACCCTTAGAAGTCAATAGGCAGAGGGCTACAAGCCTACTTTATTCAACGTTGAATACCCACCCATAAAGGTCAGTTCATCCGAGTATTACCGCCTCCAAAAAATATTAACGTTTTGTAGGCATACAGTACCGTAAAACCGTTTGGAATCTTGGAGCAGAGCTGTTCGTTAAGCTAACAGCATCCTTTGATAATGAAATGGGCCGGAGGCAGAAACTGGCACTTGAGAATGCAGAGGCAGTCATCACACAGTCCCAGAAGACGTGACTGGACAAGGCGTCCAAGCGGCGCCTGGTCATACACGGTTGCCATTGGATACTGCGAAATCAGCCTGCAGGCACATAAGGACAAGGAGTTAAAGTTTTGAACACGCTTTTCGTTCCCTTGTTGCATTACAAAAAAAAAAAAATATTAAAGGGACCCTCCCACCTTAACATTAGATTTGAGTTAAGATAGCCAAAATGGGGTCCCTGGCTCACAATTACCGGTTTCGGCACTCACAACATCGAGAAATGCCTTAAATCGGAAATATTGAATTTCAAAATTGCAGCATTTTGATTCAGAGGGGCTAATGCTTAGGAATACCCCTCTGAATGTGTGACGTCAGCGCAAATATCTCACGATTTTTAAATGTTTGACTAAAACGTTTTGTAGCACGCGGTGGTATATGCTATTTGCGCGCAACATCTGCCGCAAACGCCGCACTTCTAAAATAAAGTCGCTAGAAACAGCGGAGATCCCAAAAAAGTAAACAAAAGTAAAAGTCTAATATCTTGAAAACCGGTGAATATTTTTCGGTGAAATTTGGTAGATATTCGTTTTCGCTCTTTCTGAACCGAGCGACATCACTTTCATGCCAATTCATAAACTTTTTTGAAGGTGGGAGGGTCCCTTTAACGTTGTGTAGGCATATCTGGTTTGGTAGCGTGTACCATTATGCTCCCATTCCACTTACTGGTCACAGATCCAAACTCATGAAACTCCTAGATGCCGTTCATGATGACGAGTGTGTTCAATGAAGCTTATTCTGCTGCATGATGCACTGGTATGGTATGGTATGGTATTTGTAGCTTACGGGCCACCACAGCGTCCTGTATTTGGGCCCGGTTCTGTCGTCCGTCTTCGTTGTTGGTCCGTCCGTTGCCTTGAAGTGTCCGTTGTCTTCTTGGCTCGTAAGGGTGGGCTGAGGGGTGGGACTGGGTTCCTAGCTATCTCCTCCCGGGTAGCCGGATTGCCCCTTCTATTATTTTTTTTTGTTTTTTTTTTTTGCCATTTTGCCATTCTGGGGTCTTTTATTTTGATTCTCATTGTTTTGAATATTTTTTTTCTTTTTTGCTTTTTTTTTTTGGCTTTTTTGGCTTTTTTGTCCTTGGCTCTAGGGGAGGAGATTTACAGGTCATTGATCAGCCCAGTGTTGTGTCTTTAGTGGATGAGTAGTGTTGTTAGCTCGGGGTGTAAGTCCCCGAGCAGTGTTGTGAGTGTTAGTGGGATGTTGGCGTCTCTGCAGTATGTTTGTATGTGTGTCCTGTGGTGTTGGTATTGTGGGCATGTGAGTAGCAGATGTTTGACAGTGATGAAAGTGTTGCAGGTGTTGCATTTCGGTCTCGGGCTTCTTGTGATGATGTAGTTGTGTGTGATAGCGGTGTGTCCAATGCGAAGTCGTGTGATAGCCCTCTCGTTTTTGCGTGAGTTCATGTTCTTGGTGTGCCAGTGTTCTATGCGTGGTTGAATGCATCATGCACTTCTGGACAGTGATTGATATCCGACTTGCTTGGGCGAGTGTATGCGAGTGATGTGTAGTGGTGACCAATTGTACCAAAAGAAAATGACATTGAGAACATGATTTACAAGCGCAACATGCGGCACAACTCACGTGCATACAACGACAAGAAAAACAGGAAATGTCGTAAATGACGCCATAAAACATTGTATGGCCTACAAATATATCCGCAACGCAATCCTGGCTTGAGCTAATTCAGTACCTACTTTCGCGGGAACACTTTAAACTCATGTAGGTAATGTTCACACGACGCAAGACTCATATACAAACATACAACACTAAAAACACAGAACACGGACATTTTGTAGCAGTATTGCATTGTATCAGCAGCGAGGTGGAAAACTGGCGGCATCTTTGTCTCAAACTACGTGCCAGCGGTGCAATAGGCAGCTGGCATTCAGATCTAGCAATAATGTGTGCTCATGATGTTAATGGCAACTGTGAGGAGGATGAAACAATTCTGAATTTGATAGGACAAAACTGTCTGGCCAATCTGTTCCGAGCACAACTCACTTTCCCTGGACATGCAGAGTATGTGTTGCTGTGAGTTAGGTACTTATCAGATGTCACATCGCTCTGCTTATGGTAGACCTGCAATATGTGACTTGCATGTAAACCCTGCCAGCAGCATGTAGTTTTGCACAATAAAACTGTTTTCTCTGTGTGGGCTTGCATATTTCGTTGGCAGCAGGCAGGCACAATGCTAGTTCCATACACCACTGACTACACGCCCTCATGCACGTATTTACTTGAAAACTAGTACCAATTCACTCATTCACTAAATTACGTGTAAGATGACACGCACACTCTCACATACGCACATACATACCCACACACCCACATCCACCCTTACACACTAACAGGCACACATGCTCACAAATACCAATCATTCAGGGTTTCCGATGAGATGAAGTGTGTCTACTGTTTTCTGCCACATTACGTCATCACCAAAAGGATTGAATCAAAAGTATCTAGGGTTAAGAAGCATAAACAATTGCTGACACATACTTGTCACTTACTTCTAATATGCCCTACTGCAACCATAAGATTCAGTTGAACCACTTTGCTCATCTTTACTTTCAAGCTGACAATCAGCATTGACGAATCAGCATTGGTTTGGCCTTCATGAAAGCTTACGTCAATAGCCCAAATAAATAACTTGCTTGTGGACGAATGGCTTTTAGTATGAATGCACATAGGTAAAGTGAACTGCGCACATGCTGTGACAAACTTTTGTTTGCCTAGTAAGAAAACAGTAGACACACTTGCTAGTTTGGATAAAGGGATATTCTCGTGCGTGTAAACGGTTAATATATTCGAATTTGAGGTTGACAAAATGTCAACGGTCGTTTGTGACGAACGGGGACCATATAGTAACAGTTACTGAAGTTTGGAGGACGTATCGACTGCTGAAATAATGTTTGCCAATGAGCAAGAACATCATGCGATAACATGATTAACTAGATACGTTAGTTCCGACTAACATTGCGTCGTAGTTTCGGATACTCCGAATGGAACTTGAAAACGTTAACAAATACTTTTGTTATCGGCCATCGTACAATGCTTGAAACAGTGCCTAAAGCAAACAGTCAACGTCCGTAAATATAGTCTGGTGCAGCATGTGCACTAATGGTATTGAACATGCATGTCGATGACCCGACATGCACGTCATGGACAGTGCAGTATGAGAATATCCCTTTAGTTGTTTAGAAGTTGAAGGTCTTGAAGTAGAAGGTCTTGAAGTTGAAGGTCCGCGGAGAAAGCTCGCCACCGTAGACACTATAGCCGGGGATAACAGCAGCAATTAAAATTTCATTTGGCAAATAAGTGACGATGAGGCACAACTGCAAATAATCTTTTTCTTGACCGCCTTCCATCAGCAACGTGCTATAGTACCATAATTGCCAGAAGAAAACCGCTCATTTGCAGCCTCATTTTATAGACATCTGTTGAAGGAAATATATTTTCTTTTAACCTTTAACAAGTCCGCAAACTTTGCTTGGCATGAGCGATTAAGCGCTAGAAGTTGAAGCTTGATCTAACGAAAAAGGAAACAATACTTAAGCTCATGATGCATAGACAAATATGCACTGAGAGTCCGGATGCGGCAGTGAAAGCGTGTGTCAACTGACGCAAGGTTACAATGCTATTTACCGACGAAAAACGCGATTTTGAAGCATTTTCGTGGATAAAGTGAATGTAGACTCAGACGTATTAGGTAATAGTATGCTTGAATAATGAAAAATATCAATTAAAGAGAAGCTTTGCACTCACTCATTGTGCAAATGTAGCAGCCTAATAGCATTTACATAAAGAATCTCAATTTTATCTTCAATTGCTGCCGTGATATCTTATCCCCGACCTTGCCTCGCACATGACGACCCGTGGGGGGAGTCTGGTATCCACCGCCAGCAATTGTGCACACTGGTTCGGTGGACTGGACGTAAAATGACGCCACTCTACAACAGACTCATGATCTCCGAGTGAGATCGATCTCCAAGTGAGACCTGGGTTTAGAGGCGCTTTAGCATGGAAAGCTCCTCAAGGCTCCCGTCGCGTGCCTCGCAAATGATACGAGCCATACGCCCCCCGGGATTTAGCCCATGCAGGCTGTTTTTTGAGATGAAGTCTCCACTAACGTTACGTCAGCTTGTGCGTCACCAGTTTCAACAACGAGAATAGTTATGTTTGGATTAGACGGATATGCTTCTAGCAATGTGGATACATAAATGAACTGTCAGGTAAGCTGAAGCCACCAAAGGTAGATTAGATATCGAACAAGTTTTGTGCAATTTTTATTGCACAGTTTTGTTTTTAAAACAAAGAATGCATTATGCAGTCATTGCTTGTGCATTCCATTGGAAGC